TCTCTACATTCCAACAACTTATTTTGACATATTCTCTCAAACAATTATCAAGATCTATCTTTTAATATATTTGTGATTAATGTTTTACCTTCCATATTTAGTTGATTTTCATATGAGTTAAATTAAAGATCAAGGGCAATTTCTACTAATAGTATGTATGACTAGCATTAGCAATACTAAAAAGGACGGATTTGTAAGATATTTGTTTATTATCGTATCCACCTCGATGAATCAAACTAACTTTAAAAATGTTTATTATACACTATTAAAACATAACGTTGCAATATGATCAACATGAGTTTAACTTATAATTAACTTTGCCAAACAAATCATAAGACCTACATTGTCATCACACATTTAGATGAAACACAACTATTAATTTCTTATCCTTGTGTCTTAGAAGTCCAAAGAGTATCTTTAAAGTAAACCAATGATATAAAAGTGTGTGATTTCTCGTCGTCGGTTAGTCGCATTAAGCTTTATTTTCAGAGTGGAATAGACCAAATTGGTCCACATGTTAAAACTTTTGGTGCGTGGCTTTGGTCTTTTGAAAAGTTAATGAGATTTTCTGTGTGAAGATGGATGACTTCCATTAAAGCATTAAAAAGAAAAATCAGAGAGGGTGTGAGAGTAATGTTGGATTCATTGTCTATAAAGATTATATTAAGGTACTTAAAGTGATCTAATAAAAAATTATAGTTATGGATTTTTGACATCTAAATAAAGTATAGACCTAAATATGTGTAAAGATTAGATCCATTAGAGTTGTATTTCATAATTGACGAAATAATTATGGACATATACATAAGGCTATGGTCCTCAGTTCATGTACCCATCTAAATAAAGTATAAACCTAAATATGTGTAAAGATTAGATCCATTAGAGTTGTATTTAATAATTGACGAAATAATTATGGACATATATATAAGGCTGTGGTCCTCAGTTCATGTATTATTCTCATTCTATGTGTCATCCAATTAACACAATAATAACAAGAAAAAATATATTGAAGAGAAAGATTCAAAACTCACAATCAAGATCAACAATCAAGAAGAAGATATTGAAGCAATCTAGATTATGGAGTAAGAAGGTAAAGTCAAGAACAAGAATTCAAGAATCAAAAGAGACTATCTAACATTAAAGATTAGGAAACCAAACATGAAGACATTGAGTTGATCTCTATGATTCAAGATTCAGAATCAAGATCCAGTAACAGATAATCATTTCCAATGAACTAAAATAAGTTTTGCATTTAATAATTCTCTTGATAACTTGACTAAATGATCTTACCAATAAAGTAATTAAGTTGTCAAGTTCTTGAGATTTAAAGTTTCATAAAATTCTAACAAATAAATGTTGTCATGGTACATATCGTGCTCTCAAGTCTTCTACAAAAACTAGTCTCTCGTGAGGCAAATTCTTATGATACATAGCTAGAGTCATCTCAACTAACTTATGGCTCTTGGGAGAAAATTTTGAATGGGGACCTTTTCAAGAATAATATTTTTTGATAAAAAAATAAAATAAATACTGCTTTTCTCGATGGGAAAAATTCTGGCATTTCATGAAATTAAACAAGAAAATAAGTAGAAGTTCAGTTAAGCACAAAAGGATAAACTTTTAACAGTAGTGTCTTGAACAAAAATAGAATGTTAACTCACTTGTTCTAAATTGGAAATACATATGAAATATATCAAGTATATATGCCGACATGTATGTATATACATATTTCAATTAATTACATTTTTAATCATGTATTTATGAAAATTAAATTGACGGCAAGAGAATTGAAATTAGAGACTAACATTAGTATTTTTAAACAAAGTGAATGTAAAATGCCTTGTAAATTATACATCTTTAAAATACTTTTAGATACTAATCACAATTTAGTTCTTTTTGTGAATTTGATATTCTCTCGTTATTATATTGAAAGTTATGATTAAATCCAATTTCTAAAGTTTGTTTAGGTTTATGGTATATTTGTACATTAAACAAATTTTTGTCAATTAACTAACGTTGGATATGGTCCGGTTCGATTTGATTCTAATGAGAATGGAATTGGATTCGAAATTTTTGGTATTTAGTAAGTGAAACCGTCAGGTCCAAATTAAATTATGTAACCATTCGGGTTCGGTTCCATTCGATTCGGTTCCCAAGTTCCGTATTATTATTAAATTTTTTTAATATTTACAAAGTTACATTAAGTCAGCTAATGATATGTTCAATCCCAACTCTTACGAAATAACGTAATCCAATCTTATGTGTCTTTTACATCTCTTTTTGCTGAGTTATTCATAGATTTGATTGTTAAAATCATAGAAAAAGGAAGATTGCGAACTTACAATAATTAAGAGATGCATTATCGAGTTTCAATTTAATTTATTCAGAACAATAGAAAAGGTACTATGGTGGAGTAACATATTTGGATAAAATTTAGATCAATTTGATTAAGTTGACTTTGAACTGAAAATTAGAAATAGAAAAATCATATTTTTTTTGTTTGAGCTAAATTAATTAGTTAGTAAATTTATTTTAAAAAATAAAATAATTTGACTTATTTAAAATAAATAAATTAAAAAAATTAGGGAGATTCAGTTTTTTATCTAGAATCGATAATCAAATCAAATCTGTCGATTTTCGATTCAAATATCCGTTTGAATATTTAACTTAAAAAGAGCCGCTTAATTTGATTCGAGTTCGATTCGATCGATTCGATTTCGAATGTTTTGTCCAGCACTGCAATTAACAAACAATTGTTGATGAAATTTGCAATAAATGAAAGTTAAAATGATTCAATTGAAATTTTGATGAAAGTTGACGTAACACGTGTAAGTTCTGAGTTGTTGCCGTGTTTATGGTCGGCTAACGATAACCTTACAAGTAAAGAAATGAAAGAATATGTTGACCACCACTTACGACTGCACCAATGCTCCATTCAACATTGGGTGGTCCATATTGAACCGTATAATTAAAACTCTTAAGCATCTTTCGTTGAATATCGTATTTTGTTTACTTGAGTATTTGTTACTAGTCTCTAAGTTAAAATTAAGGCTCTGTTTTTATGATAATATATATATTTTTTAATAAAAAATCATCTTATATTTTTCAAGTTGATTGTACGTTTACGGTATTGAAACTTCTTAAAATAAAGATAATTAACGGTAAAATTACTTTTTCGAATTGTCTATTATTAATCATGTCAAAGCATCAAGTCAAGAGTGAGATAATTCATGTAGGTATTATTAATTATTATGCTTATATTTTGTTTGTGGGAGAAAATGGCTGCGTACTTGTGTTTACAATTCTTCTAGGTATAGGGTAGTTGATTATTTTTTTAACTTTTAATTATCAAATCAATTGAAATTGAAGAGCAAACAAAGAAGCAGTTGACAAAGTAATATTTCAAGAATATATAATTTTTTAGTAATTAATTGCGTGGACCTAGTTACTATTCATTTGAAAAGGAACAAATTTGATTCAAATATTTAGTCCATGTTCGATTTAACTAAAAATTAGATTTTTTTTTTTTTTGTGGGTAGACTTTGATTTAATAAATAAAAAATTGATGAAATATGTGGCTAAAAATTTGATAAAAATCGTGGATTCCATGAAATATGCAGTTAAAAAACAAATTTTAGAAAATTGGGGCCAAATTATGGCTAATACTCTATAATTGACTATAGGAAACTATATTCAAATCTTGACACCTAAATATATCAATTAGGAATAGTCAATTGCTTGACGTTTCAATTTCAATTGTAGTTCTTTTACATGCTTAATTAGATTGAAATGAGATCTATTATCTCTATTTGACTATCTTTCATTAAATTTTTATAAAATCAGTACATTAACTTTTATTCGTAAAAACATAAACGTAGAATATTACAAGCGGTATCACTTTTAAAATGATATTATTTCATTTGTTCGTAAAATCTGATGTATCGAAGTGTCAAAATACTATTGGACGATAGTCAAGATTTCAACTCAATCAACATGGTAAGAAAACCAAGGACATATGTGGAAATTCGACACATTGATTTTCGACCTTTCCTATTAATTGCTCAACTCACCTTTATCTCTGGGCCTTTAGTGAAAACTTGTGAAACCTATTGGAACAGTCGTGTGGACTCATCACAACCATATACGTTTTGCATTTACATTGGTTGTTCCTTCTAAAATATCAGCCTATCATTGTCGAGTTCGTAGAGAGATGATAATCACCAACAAAGGGGGGAAATCTTTATGTAAAGTTTTCTTCCTTGTGTAATTACTTTATTACCCCTATCTCTTCTAGACATTAGTTGACTTTTAAAATTGAGTCAAATAAGAAATTTGCATTATATACATATTATTTCATTTGGCGAGGTCTTATTTAGAGGAAATATAAATTATGATCAAAATAAGTAATTTTCGATTAGCAAAATATATANTTATTTATTTATTTATTTATTTATTTTTTTAATTTGATAAAAAAAATTCTAACTCAATTATATCTCATCACATCGTATGTATGTAAATTATTATTTACATGTACCATAACTGGACAATTATATCGCAATTCATCCTTTACATAAGCGTTGCATGACATGTCAATTTATCTTATGACACATCGTAATTGTTAAATTAAAAAAATGCATATGAACATTTAATAAAAAAGTATTGAAAAAACACTTGTTTACCATTTTTATTTCTATGGTGCCACATACTTATACATGAAAGATTACTGATATTATGATTGTTATTTAAGCATTTTTTTTGTGAGATTTAATAATAGAATTTTGAAATTTAAATCTAAATTAAACTGCAGTAAACCAAATAAGACGAACTAAAGTTTTTGAAATTTTGCTTAAAGTTGAGGGATCGAGGGTGAAATTTATCCAAATATCAAATTCAAAGTCGATAAAAGGGCAAAAGTGTAATTAAGAGTCACTAATTTTCCCATATAAACAGCGCGCTCCCCGCCAAACATTTTCTTTCCCCATATTCACTTTCACATTTTTCATTCCCATTCCCATTCCCATTCCCATTCCCCCAGGGAAATCAAAATCCCCTTCCCCAGAATTCAGAAGGAAAATCAATTTCCCTCTTAATGAAGAAATCAGGCCTCTTTGCAGCCGCCGTCGCTGCTTCTGCAGCAGCCATCTCTGCTTCCTCGTCTTCCAAAATTCACTCGCCGCACCAGGTAAATTCCTTTTCTTCTTCCTTTTCGATTAAATTCAGAGCCTATTTTCTATCCGAGGGAGCTAATCTTTTCGAGATCTACCTTTTCACGAATTATATTTTAGTTTATTTGTTAAATTTTGACAAAATTTATTGTGATTTTTAGGAAGCAATTGTAAGGAGAAACTGTGAGATATCAACGTCGCAGGGGTCTTCTCCTTCTTCTTCCACGGATAAATTTGCACCAAGGTTTGATGGATTAAGGTTCATAGAGACGCTGGTTACTGCTCATAGATGAGTAAAATAAATTGTATAATTTAAAAAAAAAAAAAAAAACAGAGAGAGCTTGATTTTAGTTATTATCAAGCTATAATTTAGTCTTAACCTGTAATATTGACTCAAAAAATTGTGATGATGCTGACAGAAATTAAAAAATTTGAGGTGCTTGTCAATGATAATGAGAGTTGAATTGGTGCGCACCATAATATTATTAATTTATTGGCCTTTTTCCTTTTTTAATTGATTGATTTATTTCCTACTACTGAATTTAGGGTATGTTTAGTAGTGATTATCAGAATTGATTTTTTGATTGTTAGAGAGAAAAGTGATTTTCATACGTGAGTAATGAAGTTAGAATAATGAAACAACGATAAAAAAATTATTTTTTTAGATGAGAAGTTGTCACGAAACGGGGCTTATTTTTAGCACAGAATTCTTTATTTCTTCATAGATGCATAAATACGGCATGCATGTGCAGATATATATATTTTATTTATTGGTCGATTTCAATAAATTAACTAATTCCTTGCAATTGGACCCCCAACAAGTATAAAATTCCTGAAACTTTAGGCCAAAACGATTGGTAGGCACAATTCGTGCTAACTTAATATTTTTTCTTGCTTATCTTTTTAATAAAAGAAATTTGACCAAAAAAAAGTAATTGGCAGGGTGGAGTCAAGATCGTAGAGTCGTGGAGGCAAATTTCACAAAATTTTAATTGTGGGGACAAAATTGAAAACTTTAAGAAATGTTTTGAAAATCTTGGATTTAAAATCGAGAGTGGAGACAGTTGACCCCACTATCCCCATGCTAAATTCATCACCACTAATTAGGCTCTATACTGTTTTATTGTAAAAAAATTGAAAAATACATTACAACAAAAGAAAAATCCCATCCTCATAAAATATAATTACCGAAATTAATTACAAATCAGATAATCCTAGCAAATGCAAAATCCCATACCATAAGAAAACCCTCAAAATCCGCACCAAGCGAAACAAAAGTGACCATTCGCTGTATCTTTTCAATTCTTGGGAAAAGCTCGCAGAAGTATTTTGGGAATAGGGACTATTATTCAATCTTTTTCCTCAAAAAAAGAAATCGAAGGTTCTAGTTTCTTCTTCATTTTTATAAATACAGTCCTTATGAATTGGAGATCTTTACAACTTATTCAGTAATTTATTACTTTATGAGTGTTAATATAACCAACCATGCTACATAGCCAAAGTTAGTGGCAGAATTTCATTTTCAGACAACACTCGACAAATTCTAATTGAAAATTGGGAAGAAAAATAAAATAAAAACACTCAATTATGAGCTGCTACATCAGCCCATTTTTTCAATAAAACTAATACAAAGTTGGGTTGCAAATGTTGGGTTAAAAAGTGTGTTGACAAAATTCAGACCATTGATTTTAAATGATTTAAAAATTTCTTTTTTAAAATGATTGGTGTAGATGTAATTTTGTCATTCAGCATTGTCAATCTCTTTGTAAGTGTAGCATAACTCTTTGATTCCCTGTTTTTTTTCTTGGTGTGTTAAAGCATTTTTTTAATATGACTGTTCTCAAGTTTTATTATGGTTTATTGAAATACCCTATGTTGCAATATGAGTCAAATAACATTGCAAGTGTGTCGGTCCAAAATGACGCAATCAGCATTATTCTAATCTGTTTTGGGTCCAAAGCACCGGCACCTATGATATCATATCCATAGAGAGAACATGAATTTGTGAAAGCATATTTCAATCTCTTTCCGCATATTCCCACCCATTATGCTCTTCCTATTTGCCATTCCACTTTCTATTGCTTATTTTTTTATTGCTTATCAATCGATTTTTTATAAATAAGTCGCCTCGAGCGACGAATGAAATAAAATTGAAATAGAATTAATCCTACTGTAAATAAACTGGACGATAAATAATAAAAGACGTCAGCTACTATAATTCCATCTATGTCAAGCATCAAAACTCGTGGCTTGTTAAAGAGATAAAATTAGGATTGGGTTTTTTAATCATAACCCAACCTCTTGGACCCAAGGTTTCGGTCCGATTCCAAAACTAATAAATTAGGAATTGAAATCGAGAATCATCTGGGTTTTGGTTGATTTTTGGCTCTTGAACAAGAACCCTAGGTATCTGAATGAAATAGATTTTCTTTTCTTTTTTTTATTTACAATTTATAAGCTAGGTAAAAATAAAATAAAATAATGTAAACACCCTATTTTGAATAGTAATTTGTCTAAAAGTCAAGGCTCTAACCCCATGAAATCAAGATTGACTCTTATTTTTTTGTCTCTTACATCACACAAATTGTTGTATTCAGGGGTTTATAAACCAAAATGTTCAAGTTAGATTGTAGAGTAAGTTGATGAATCAAAGCATTTATTATTTGCAATTCGAGTTTTTTACTTTCTTGTTAATTTATAATACGTGGTAATTGAAATTGATAAATTCATATTTTGGGTTTTCGTATATTTTTTGATTATCTTGAGATCGTAGTCCTTTATATATATATATAGTATTTTTTATTTCTATTCGTTTTAAGAGTAGAAAAATTTAAACATTGTTCATAATTAAACTGTAGGCTTTAGCATGCCTCACTTATGGATTGAATAAAATTTATTAAGAAAAAATTAATTTCTTCTCAACCTGCAATTTAATTTATGATATTTTAATTTTCTCCTCTTTCTGCGATTTTTAGTCTGCACTATTTTGCTTCTTAAAGATTTATTAGCTGAATTTTCTCCTTCGTATAAATATTATCGAGTAGTAGCATGTTAGTTAATTGTATTAAAATGTTCAACGTGAAAATGTTTATTAAATGTATATAAAAAAATGGTTAGTAATGAACTGGAATCGAAATAAGAACCAACAGTTCAAATTTAGATTTGGTTCCACTAATTACAAAGACTTGAATGATTCCATCTATGAATACTCGAAGTATAATGGGTGACTCTCAGTATTTAATACTCGAACTAATCCACCGACGCCCACACCTATCTACAATGTCATACAAAATAGGCGCAATAAGAGCTAAGCTAAAATCATATTATAAACTTTGCACAACCTAAGGAGAGTGACGCTTCACTTGAAGAGATGCACTTTCCTCGAATCAACACATTCCTTCAAATAATTTTGCACTCATTGATTCTTGAGCTCGACGATCGAGGATGGACATGAATAGAACCTTTAGTAACTGAAACAAAGGCAACGAGCTTAAGCAAGTGAGAGAGGAAAATATAAGCGTAAGGCTATAAATTGAATGTATAAATGTACCTGAATAATGATTCAAGACTTTATAGAGGTAAGTAGCACACTCCTAGTAGGATTAAGTAGTGCACTCAAAAGTTGTGAAGTGTTTGGGAGGTTCTATACCTATGGGTTGTAATTTGATTGAAGTTGTGAGATAGATTGTTTGGATGATCATAAAGCACTTATGTTATAGTTCCATAGGATTAACAGCATCAATGGTTTCATTAATAGACCTGAATCACCTCCTCGGGGTTATGCACACCACCCCAAGGAGCCTCAGCCCCGATGACTGAAGACAAGTTAGAATAACTTGAGCTCACTCGTTCGGGAGTGATCATCAGGATTCCAAAATTGGGAATGTCCTAATAGAAAGAGAGGAAAAAAGGATAGTAAACTACATGACATGTATAAGGGATTCAAGCATGAGCTCAAGATCACTCCAACGCGCCCAAGGATATTTTGACCTAGGGTGAGAGTGACTTCGAGCCCAAGCTATAAACTCAACAATGTTCTAGCCATAGGAAAGTGTTTGAAATTATCATGACCTCGAGCATGAGGTCGTAGATGGTTAGGTCATACAAAAATTGTACACATCACGTATGATGATCATTTAGACTCTAGATGAAACATTTATCTTGTTTTTATGGCTTTATTAAAATGCACAGAAACAAATATGCACATAAAGAAACTCCTTGTTAGTCGGTCAAGACCACCATTCTATTTGTGGAGACAAATAAAAGAGTAACACCAAATAGGTACGTTGGAAAAACTTTTATCCTAATAAGGGAATGGAGAAAAGAAACTAGAGAAAAGAAACCAAAGAAAAGAAAAACGTCAAAAATTAACTTGAATGCCTAATCGCTATCCACAAGCTAAATTTGCCCTCTCTACAATTGTTTTTTGTGCTTAAAAATCGCTCAAGGAAAATGATTAGTAGGATTTAACAAGCCTTAGAAGAAGAAAGACTCTAAGTACTTATGTTTTCTCCTTAAAATTTGAAGAACACTCAAATGGATGAATATGTAAAGAGACTTTTGCAAAACTTTCTATAAATGAAATGGTTATATATATATATATATATATA